TCCTTCCTTTTTTCTGTTTTCTTTTTTTTATTCATTCACGTTTCCCGATATAATACAATCGACGATTAAACATCGATGTTGTATCTCCGGCGGATGTTCTCTCCTTTTTCTTTTCCACGCAGCTGTGTACGTGCACAGCTTCTTTGCGTGATGGAAACGAATCTTCTCCGCGTCGTTCGCAGAGAACAAGTTTTGCACTCGAGCGTTTCCGTGCGACGAAAGTTGCATCGTAAAAATTTTCCGCCGCTGGGTGGGGGTGGGGGGGGGGGATGAAATGTAGAACGATTCGATACGACACGATACACGAAGAAATCCGCGTAATCTTTAAATGTAACAGGGTACGTAGCACGGCCAGATGAAAACATCCGCGAATCTGTATGCGCGGATTAACGACACACGCGTCGTAAATTCTTCTTGGCTTTCGCGTTAATGCTCCGCGCCAAGTAATACGTTTCATGCACTTGCAACTTTTACTGCCGAAAGTATCGTTTGAAAACGTTCGCAAGCGAGCAAATAATTTTTACGCGACAACAACGAACACGCGCGAAACGCTGATCGCTCGAGTAGTTTTCTGTCGCGGAAATAAAACCGTGAAATTAACGTTTCTGAAAGTTGAACGTTAATTTTCTTTTCCTTTTTGTTTTTTCTTTCCTCTCGTTCTACCGACAGTTTCAAAGTACGCGCGTTCTATCTCGGCCACGGGGGAATCATTAATAACGACGCTCAACAATTTCGATCATCGGCGCTCGTAATAATCTTGTTCCCGTTTAATGCTGCGTCAAAACGATCATCATAAGGGGATTAAAATTTTACGTGCATACTCATAATTCACATTTCGCATCGGGGAATTTATTGCTTCGCTGTTGAAAATCTTCGATGTCCAATTAAATGCGCGATATATGAAAAGCGTACTTTTCAGTTAATCCATCATCGTCACCGCAACCGGTTAAAAATTAATACCGACCCGGAATACCCGGCGCAATTAAGTTGACGCCAAATCGTATTAACAGAAATAATTTCCATTTACGGGCACAAATGGAAATTTTATACTGAAAACGCAGAGATCGACGCGCTCGGAATTCCCCCTCCCCCAATGTCGCTAATGCAAAATTTCTAAGTCCGGTGACAATTTAAAAAAATTAAAAAAAAAAAAAAAAAAAAAAAACGGAGAAAAGAAAAGAAAAGAAAATGGTAGAAATCGTGAAATGGCTAAAGATTTCGATTTGCAGAGAGACACGTTCAGAAGTCGGGGGGAGGGGGAGAGGCGAACTTGATCGCTCGAATTGCCTGAAGATCGTACGTCATCGGCAAACAATAGTTACGACCCCCGGGGAGCGCGACGCTGGACGTAATATCATCTTGATCCCTACAATCACTGACAAAAACACGCGAGCTATACAGACACACATACACACACGGCCGTTGCAATTTCCCTACGTTTCTTCTTCGTATTTCTCTTCTTTTAGTATTGACCTATCTCGCGCCGGGAATTTTCCTCGATTATCCTCGACTTTTGCCCACCGTTGTGTTATGCGGGATATGTCGGTAATGTCGCTCGTAACTTGGAAATGGTAAGAGGGCTCCAGAGCCCTATTTTTCGTGGTGCCAGGAACTCCGTTGGGTTTTGGGATCATTCTCTCTTTCTCTTCCCCAATCTCTCTTTATCCTCATCTCCTGCTTCTCTCTATCTCTCCCCTATCACCCTCCTCCGCCACCTCGCCAACTTTTCTATATTTTCTTCCATCTTTATTTCTTTGCGTACACGCTTCTCCCTACGTGCCACGTTCGCTCCGTTTCACCGTGTTTATTTCCTTTACTTCCTGTTTTTAGCCCCTCGCTAGAAGAGGCAGAGAGTTCTACGCATCTGACGTCTGCATATTTCTCTTTGCAGCCGATGTACTTGCACACGCGTTCGTTCGCGTCTTTGACACCTCGAATTGTCGAATCGATGAAATAATGACGGGGGATTTCCAAAAAGGACGCAACCTCCACGCCTAAACTTCGCAATAAACCGACAGTTACCAACCGGGGGGAAGGTTGGATGCTCGCGCATCGCCAAACAAACGCGTACAAACGTGTACAAACGCGCGCGCATAATTTAATCGTACACGGAAGCATGTAAGTTGCTGTATAAATATTTAACACCGAATATGCATATATATTCTCCGTTTATCCGTTTCTCTCTCTCTCTCTCTCTCTCTCTCTCTCTCTGTTTCTCTCTCTGCAGATATTACGAGTAAACGGCACACGCGATACACGCGAAATAGCATCAATGACACATCATTATTCGCGAAATGAAACGAAATTATGTAGGAACGGCGGATATTTGCATTGCGCGGCGGCGTGCGCATACAAAGCAATACAATGGATCATTTCAATCCAAACGTATCGCTTTTTGCAGCCGTGGGCGTCGAAACGAGAAACACCATTTGGCAATTTTGCTGCCGAGCTAGTCCTGAAAGATGACTACGTACCGCGCTGCTTTCAGGTTTATCCAAGCACGGGCTTTCACGGCGAGCTTTTTTCAAAGTAAACCACGCTAACACGTACGATTTCAGAGTAAGAGAGCCCGTCTCCCCCTCCTCCCCCCGCCCCCTTGCAGATCGAAAAGTCGCGATGCGCAACCGGGCCGGACAAACAGACTTACAACGATCGAAGCACGAAAAGCTCTCGTAATAGCTTTTCAGGCGATTTTCGAAAGGAAAGAAGAGAGGGGGGAGGAAAAAAAAGGAGAGAAAATATTTTGGACAAGTACGGCAACAGCGAGTAAAACTTTCCTGAAATTATACTCGATATCGCGAGTTTATAGACTCAAACGGCGCGTGAATAACATTTATTTGCAAGCTTATTTATTCTACCTTGATAATTAATGATTCTCCCCAGCCCCTCCACGCCCCTCCCGCCTGTAATAAATTGATGCCCGGGCGAAATATAAAATCAATAAGTCGACGATGATGACAAAGGACTCATTAATTAATTTCAGTTTGATTAATACTAATATGCCCTCCCTCCCGACCTTCTACGAATAAAATGTATCCTACGATTGCTAGATAAAACTAATTAACAGCCGCGACAACGATCGGGGACAATATCAATTAAATTAGACTGTTTTGAGAAAATCTATTAAAACAGAGATCCACTAAACTAAACTAAACGAAACTGAATGTCCGTCGACGTTAAAATATACATGCACCATCGCTCGTGATTCACCGTGATAAACACAATTACACTTGGCAAGAGAAAATCAAAGTATTCTCTCCCCGTTTCCCCCCCTATCGAGCTTGTAACGCGTAAAATAGAAGTTCTGCTAATGATAAAACCGATACACAGCTAGTGCTTCCGCACGCATATAGTTAATGAACATCATAAAGTCGCTGCACACTATCGAACTATAGTGTGTAATTAGTAAATGGACGTGAGTCGCGTAACAGATCTTTCATAAATCGGCCGGGTAATCGTGCGACACGGTAATTACGAACGTACACATATTCAAGCACGGAATGCTTAATCGCTTCGATGTTTGCAACATTGAGCATTTTAAGAAGTTTCGCCGCTCGATCATTATTTTGCAAATGTGATATTTGATACTTTCGCGATACGATAGAGTCGATGAATCGGGAAATAATTGCGCGGAATATTAAAAGTTGCGCGAAAGGGTTTTACCTTTAGAAAAAAAAAAAAAAAAAAGGAAAAGAAACTGCGGACACGAAGCAAATGTCATTTTTTTTTTTTAAAGGAATACGCGCGTTTGGAAGATACGCCACCGTACACAAGTACGATCGCTTTGTTTATTCGCGCGTGGACAAATAAACGACAATTTTTGCAAACTTATTGGCCTAAATACTTTGACGCCTAGCTCTTCTAGGAGAGAAAAGAGACGAAATTCTAATGGTAGAATTCGAATAGTTTCGTACCGAGGGTATCCTGTGTTGGTTCGATGCAATTTCGCCGATTGCAACAATAGTTATCGATATTTTGAACGCAATGTCTCGAACAATCGAGATCAAAACGGGGAAGCACTTCTCGTTACTGCGTAAACACGCTTTGTGTGTGTAGAATTTGCTGCATCGATTGTTCGACGGCAGTGTCAACTTTGAAATACTAATACTTACTCCCCCTCCCAGTCCAATAAATGACTCGATCGAAGCGATTGTTCATCCGTTCCTAATGAATTTAATTTGCAGACGAAGAACTTCCAACGTGGAATAGACAACAGCCCGACAGCTTTCAAATTGCACCGGCGAACCCGGCGCTCTATGAAAATTGAAATTCGACGTGTTCTCCGACGTGTATAAAATATAAAACGGAATATAAAAACGCGGCAACGCGTCTAATAAAGAAAAAAAAAAAAAAAAAAAAAAAATTTAAATTATTCTCTCGGAAAAAATTCTCTCGGAACGGAAGGAAACATATCCGACAACGTATTTTCTTTCAATCCGATGCGATCTCGATCGGTATATCTGAGAGAGAAAACGAGACTTTGAAACACCAAAATTTTTTCAGAAATACCTCCGATACCGCTTTACGATTTACAATGCCGATCTGGTTGCAGCAACTGGTTATTCGAAACAAACATGGAATTTGGAAATTGCCGAATTTGTTCTGAGAATATACGCTCCTCGAATACACGTTCCTTGACAGCTTGCTAATTAAATTAGCTAATGCAAATCCCTCCACGAGGCGAGAATAACGTTCGCCTAATTTACGAGATATTTGTTCAAGGAATTACAGCAATCGATGAAGCAAAGATAACGGCAAGTGCTTCGTTACGTTCGCGCGTGTTATCGTCGCTAATCCAACGAGTGCGCGTTAACACACTTTCTAATCGTAATTTCGACTCCGATTAATGAAGCTTCAGCTGATCGCTGGAAAAGACTGTACCTTAGGTATTCTCGGGTCGGATCACACGAGCCGAACATCGAAAAGGTGTTAACACTCGCTGTCCGTCGGGCAATCGCAAGTAACGCTTGGACTTTTCTTTTTTTCTTTTATCAACTTACCTTCCCCTCGGACGAACTGGATATCGAAGAAGACCGGAGAGAGAGGAGTCGTAGGCTTGCCAGCTTGCACTTTTCCTCGCCCCTTTTCACACTTACATACGTGTCACGTCACTTTTCTCCACGTTCGTTTCGCTGCTACCCGCTGGCTCCTGCCCCGTGTCCCCGGCTACGACTGAATGAAACAGAAAATGTCGACTGTTTACAAGCCAATACCTTCCACTATCGATTCGACGCGAATCTCGGAATCGAGCATGATATTTAGAAACGCAGTTCTTGCGAGGGGGGCTACGTATGTAAATACACGCGGAAATATAACGAGTCTGTTTTCGTTGTTTTTCTCGTCTTTTGCGCTGTTGTACACACACACGCACACTCATATATAGGAATATTTATACTAGTCCCCGTATGTCTAATTTCGTCTCTACGGAATTTTTCATCCAGAAACAATTTCGAGCATTTGTCTAAATTTTAATTAAATTAATTACGTATGTGTATTCGATGCTGCGTGTGTACGTACGAATGAACAACTAAAGGGATAAACGACGTATTAGGATAATATAGATCAAATGTGTTGAAAACCGATTCAGTCTGTTGGACGTACATACGTGCATGCATATACGTATGTGCAACAGTATTACATTTCATGCCATACACGAGGCTCGTATATCTCTCCTTGAGGGGAATATATGTAGAATATTTGTTATAGATTAATAAGTGATTAATCTAATGTGTTTCCGCAATGGATGCATAAATTTTGTAAGTACTATTCAGCTTAATATATTCGCGTATGGTTATCGGTATCGACGGTTTCCGTTCCGTTATTAAGCTAATTTAAAATAAAGGATAATCTACGATGCGCATAATGTAAAAGGATTGTTACGTTACGTCTTGATACTTTTTCCTCCGTCGTCGTATTATAAATTCAAGAGAGAGAAAGAGAAAATATGATCGATGATAATCCACTTCATTTCAACGGTCCTTGCCCCATGTAATCATTAAATTCGTTTCCACCGTTCGTTCAGACTCCTCCGCGCGCCTTCTCCCTCTCTCCCTCTCCCTCTCTCTCTCTCTCTCTCTTTTAACAATTTATATTATTCGCCTGAATTTATAAACGATTAAGACGACGTCGATAGCATTAATAATTCATTGCTCCTTACTACTCTAATAAGTAACTTCCTCGCGGAATTGCTTGCAGTAATTTCTTAAGATTAATTAGAATCAGGCAGCCTCATAAAAAATTGATAAGGAGAGATGTAGGAGATAAGAAAATAAAGAACCGAGGCTACAAAATTCCTTTGCCCCGGCCGATAACTTGTAAGTTATGATTGAGAGTGGAAACCCCTTCGTTACGAACTTGCACAGTAGATATCATTTAGAAACTTTCTCACCTCCTGTCTATTTAGAGTCTGGACTCTGTTGCAGGATGAAATTCAAGCGATCCAATCTCCGCGAAACTTGACGCACAATTTATTAAGAAAAAAAAAAAAAAAAATAATAAAGAAACCGTGACAAAACCGCTCTTGTCGTTCGGATTTGCATGCAAAAATTCGCTAGAATTTCACGTTTGATTCTGCGATTAATAGCGGCGGTCGAGAGTGGAGAAGAAGAAACGAAAATTTAAATCATCGCCGCGGGAATGGAATTTTGCTCGAAAGAAATTTGTCGTTACGGAAATTAAATAAAAGTTCTCGTTGTATCGATACATCTGGCGACGTTTGAATCACAAAAATAACAAACAACAGTACAGTTCGTTGCATCAATAAATTATAGCTTGTATTTTTTCAAAGTGTATCGTTAATTACTGTCCACCCGAGTGTGCCACTAATTACAAAACATCCACCATACGACGACCAATGAAGTAAATCGAATCGACGAATAAAATTAATCAAACTAATTGCCAGATTCTTATTTGAGAATACTTTGAAGTAACATCGTCGATCTCGACATCTTCAATGTTCCTTTTGCACAAACAACCATAGGTACTCTTTAAATATTTGATTCGGCGACCAAGGAAATGAACAAAAAATTAAATTACCACACACATACGCGCGCGCGCACACGCAAACACGATAGACAAGTTTCATCAGCGTGTGTTCTTCGTACTTTTCAAATATTTCATTGGCGGAGCGGGCTTCATTCCGGCATGCTCATGGAAAATTAAAAAAATGCACCGCACACAGAGGCTACGCGAAAATTAAATGTTTGAATGCGCAGACCGACAGGACTGCAATCAAGGAACAGGCGATAGAGAAACGTCGAAGAAACCGTGAAATCACTTTCATTGACGCACGTACGTGCATGCACGTGTCACCGTGACTCGCAATTACTTTCGCCATTAATTCTTTCCGAATCGACAGTTTCACGATTTCGCGCGAAGAAAATCCATCCATCTCGAATCTTCCACCCGAGTTTCCCCGCATTGATATGCGGGGAAATGTTCGATATTTCCCAGTATTATTTACCGCGAATTCAGTATTCGCGTGTACGAATAAAATTTATTTCGATATCCTCCCCATCTCCCACCTCCTCCGCCTCGTCGCTCCTGGGTACGAATTTTCCTAACGAAATTTCCATTCATCGAAATCACGGGCGATATTTCTTTTCGTCGCGTGTGCCGCGAGAAAGTTACGACGATTTATTATCCACTGGTACAACAACGCGTTGTTATCATGATAACAGGCGTTAGACAATGGATCGCCGCCGGCGGTTTTTTTTACCGAGTTCGAGTGTCTTTCTTTCGTTACACGTTACAGATCCGCGTTAAATATCAACCGGACGACATCGAAGAACGAAGAGAACGTACGAATCGCGGGACGATATTTATTAGCGTTGCAGAATCGGTTAATAAGGTTCCGGAAGTCGCGAGAATGTGCCTTGTTTGGCACAATTAATATACAGGCCACGTACTAATTTAAATATCATTTGCACGAGACACACACACACACACACACACACACACACACATATACACATATAGACAAAAGTGCTCGCGGTCATTAGCGTTCAAAGAATTTAATTACAATTGTTCGAGCCGAGCAATTGTACGCCGCACTGCCTGTGTGTGGAAATTAATCCGACACTCGGCTTGTACCGGTTGTAACGATCACGCATTAACTGGACGCCGAGTTTTTTTTTTTTTTTTTTTTAAAGGAACGCGGCGGGCCGCAATTCGCGAAGATTTCCAACGCGCGGAGATCCCGACCGCGAGAGTCTATTATTTTAATCGCACGTCGCTCCGGAACAATGTACCGGCGTGCACGGACGAACGAACAGAAGTGGAATCGAAATATTTCAGAAATTAAAGCGACCGGTTTCACGCCGGAGTTTCACGATTAAAAATATTTTACACCTAAACAGAGACGCGGCGTTCCGCGCTGTGAAACGCGGATGGAAATAAGGAGAACGGAAATCGAAACGTTTGGCGATAAACAACAGAGAGAAAGATTCTTTTGGCCGTTTACGCTCCGCTGGCGCCACTTTGACCATGTGCATTGATAACGTGTAAATTATTTCTACCGATACGACGATGAGACATATTTATACGCGTATAAATATAAATTTAATTCTTAACTTAATTTTAAGCCAGAATCCTGGAAAGGGAAACTTACAAGACGCAGAAACGACACGAAAAATTCTGAGCAAAGTCTGAGTTGAATGCTGATCGGTGTTAATGAATGCGGATGTGAAATGTGCGGACTGAAATTACTCACCGAACAATGATAGCCGACAAATATCGAGTTGAATGTCAAAGCAGGCGACTCATCCAGCGACGCAGAACACACAGAGAGAGAAAGAGAGAGAGAGAGAGAGAGAGAGAGAGGGAGGGAGAGAGAGAGGGAGAAAGAGAGAGAAAGACTCGTGACTCGAGAGGGCGACGAGAAATAAAAGAGAAAAATCAAAAAGGGGTCCAACGAGCAGGCTCGAGCTCTCTGTTTTTCCCCCTTTGGCTCTTTTCCTTCTCGGGCTCGGTTTCACTCGCACGCAGTCAGCGGTGCCAAGTCAGCACTAGCTGGCACACACACAGGTGCGAAAAAAAAAAAGAAAAGGAACAGGGGTGAAACAGAGGGAAAGAGCGAAATAACCGAGATCGAAAGAGGATCCAGATGGTTAGCGAATCGTTAGCGATGCCTTAGCGATTCGAAGCGGTGGAGGGGAACATCTGCCAAGGGAGAAACGGCCCCTATGTGAAAACACTCTTTCGTCGTGTGTGTCGACTAATCACGCTCGTGGTAATTCGACCAGCGTCCTCGTGGCACTCTGCGACGTATCGCGATTAATCGCGATGCTCGTGTAATTGCCACACGGAGATCTTGCCTTTTCTGCCCGAATATGTCTCTCGAGGGACGCCCGGCCACCCCTCTTCGCACAAACGTCTACTCTCGAAAGATCAAATTCTCCAAAAATAGTTGTCGGTTGCTCTTTTTCTTTTTCTTTTCCTTTTTTTCTCCCCCCTTTGTTCTTTCGAGGAATCTATTCGTTACGTACGTTTTCGTTTATTATCGGATTCGTAACGACTCTCGAGGGGATATCTATCCTGCAAAGACTTTGACGGTGAACGTCGGTCCCTCGTTATGTGCGGTATTCACGTATGAACGAAGAATCGGCGCAAGTCACTGCGGTGCGAGGACGTCGCGACGACTGGCGGACGCAGACTGACTCGAACGCCGTCGTCCCTCGGTTTTCACGGCGCGCCGCGACGCTCAACGTCCCGACGCCGCTCGTCGAGGGCGCTCACGGTCGTTCGTGCCGTTTCGTTTGCGTGGCTTTCCACCCCTCGCCTTTTCTTGCGATTCTTCGACGCCCACGGTCTGTCCACCACCCGCGACGTACGATGTCGAGATGCCTCGGTCTCTCCCCTCCTCTCTCTTTCTCTCTCCCTCTCGTTCCCCTAGCAGGGACGCGTGCTCTCCTCTCTATGGTGTCTTCCGCAAGGGGGGTGGAGAATGAAACGGGAGAAGAAGGAGGCGAAAATAGGGTAGAAAAATGAACAAAGACGAATGCAACAGTTGTGAATCTCCTGGCATGCTACGTAGCCAGCAACATCCTAAGGAAAGTTCCTTTTTTTTTCTCTCGCTCTCTTTCTTTCTTTCTTTTTTTTCTTCATGCCCGACTTTGCAACGTCGATTGCCGTTTCAACGTTTCTGCGTCGCGGAGTAAGAACGGAAGGTATCTCGGGTGTGACCGAGGCGTTTCTTTCACGCGTTCTTTCCTTCTTTCGCCTACAACATTTCTTTTCTTTTCTTTTCCTTTTTTTTTTGTTTTCAAAAACTTCAACGCTTTGTCGCTTTGTCGAATATTCTGTAACACGGTTAGATAGTTCGTGCAACTGATGTCGTCTCTTTCGTTTCTTTCGACTTGGCAAGTGGAACAAGACTGCATCTGATAAATGAGAAAAGTATGGGAAATATAATTAAGAGGATGTGGAAATCGTATTGAACGTGTCAAGTGTCGAGTGATGCCGAATGTTTTACCCAGGCCTTTTATTGCCTCTTCCATAATTCCTCTGGCTGTCGAACAGCGCGGCTAACCGAATGGAAAACAACTGTTTCGTCGATAATGTCAGTATCAAATGCGGCGTGCATGTACGAGGACATTGACGTCGCGTGGCAATACACGTCCTTGGCCACAAGCCGCTTACAAAGGGACGAAAGACAAAGTGACAACGAAAGAGAGCGTTTGATTTTCAAGCGTTGTTACGTACAACGCAAATGATGGGGAAAAATGGACAAAAGATGGACGTCTACGTTTGTACATGCGTAAAGGGAAGGGGGCGCAGATTTCCCTTTAAATATGGTTGGAAACACCATGCCGGCGGTGCCAACTTCTTCAGTCGAGTCGTCGTTCGCAAGCAAATGCAGTTTTCTCTTGTTCAAACGTGTTTTCGTTGCCACACGGCGAAGCTCGAAATGAAATTGACGAATGTGAAAGGGCGAGACGGAGAACAGCGAATAGTAATATATCCATCTTCTCGTACACGCGCACCGTGACGCAACGCAAAATAACAAATTATTAAATAATGCATCAGGCTTTATTTAAATCCGTGCTTTCGCTACCCCCAGAGACGCATTCGCGATTAATGAATATCAACAGCCGTTATTAAATATTTATGACGACGCGGTAACACCGTATACTATTTTCCAATCGCATTAACATTCCACCGGATTCCGCAACGACGGAGAATTTATCCCGATAGAAAACGATTTACAAATTGCATTATACATGCCTCTCGCTCACACGGCTGTGTTTCGTCGATTGTATAGATATCGTTGTCCGTTGTGCTTAGATCATTACGCGTTCGAGACCCCAATTCCCTTGTTGCTACGTTTTAAAAGCGTTTATCGATTCGTATCCACAAAAATTTCATTAGAGCAAAAAATAATTAACGCAAAAACCTAGATTTGAATTTTGCCGATTGATTTTAGTTTCTCTCTTTTATTGAATCGAAAGTAATTGCGTCCTCTTTTTTCCCCTCCTAATAGATGTATCTTAAAATGTAACCAACTTCATTTCATTTTCATCATAAATTGTATTCATTCTGTAATCTGATATCTGATTGTTTCAAGCTGTAGTTTCAGAAAAATAATAAATGCACGATCTCGTCAACGACTGTTTGCTTAGCGTCGATTTCAAGAGATGGAAACTCAAAAAGGAACATTTATTTCCTTTTGGAAAGGAAGAAAATGCCGTGGAAAATATTATCTGATGTATGTATGTATGTGTGAATAGGCCAGCCTTCAAACTACGGCAGTGATATCAAAAGTCGGAAAAAAATAACTTTTCCCGAACTTTTCTGGAAAACACAAAGTTGCCTGAAGTAACAATGTCCCTTGTGAAAAAATTCGTCGTTCGTTTGCAGTTACTGTTCTCTCTCGAATACTACCGTCGTGGATACTTCGATGAATCGTGTCCATAATAACGCAAAATCTTGCTTCGACGCGTTGTTATCGATGTCGCTCGGCGCGATTCTCGAGACGATATCGGGTAAGTAAAAAAGAGCGTCGGTGCTCGGGGTAGAGAGTTGCACGGATGCAACAGTTGCTAGCCTCTGACGCCTCTCGCGTCGCGTCGGTTTCCTCGGCGTCGTTGCATGTCATCGTGATGCGTCGTCACTGTAACCGAGGACTGTGACGGAGCACGTAAACGCGCGGGTAGCGCAAGCTCCGCGTCAGGATGCAGGGTGGCGTCGCGTCGGTGCGGCTGTCCACGGCTTTATGCTCCTCCTGGGAATTTCTCTCTCACACCAGCCAACCGCTCAGACATTCACCCGAGCTCCCGTGCCAGCTTCCGCGCGAACCAACCCTCCCAGCCAACGTTATACACACGCGTTGGAACGCCGCTGAACGTCCAGCGGCGCACAAAGGCACGGCGAGACACGCTGGATAGGAAAGTTCTACGCGATAATTATTATTATTGTTACCGGATACGTGTACACTCGTGTTGGACGCGCGTACACGCGTCTTCACGCTATTCTCCCCTCATCCAGATTAACGACGCGAGAACACGGGACTCGAGAATAGTGTCTCGCGAGAGTACCAATACCGAACACTTGCGAAATAATCGAGAATACCGGCCGTTGTCTTCGCCTGTGTAATTAACGATTACGTTACGTTACGATGCGACAAACTTTTTTTTTTTTTTTTTTTTTAAGGAAATCGATGGATTGAAGAAGTGAATGAAAATTTCAGTCAGTCATCAAGTTGATGATGCTCTTGTTAACCCTTGGCGCTGGCAACTGGTTCGCGGACCATAACGAGCGACCAAATCGTGTACTACAAATAATTCGCCCCTTTCTTTTTGACCTCGGTATGATATCACTGGATAGAAATTACTATTGTAAGAAGTAATAAATTTATTATTGTGCCTGAGTTTATTTAATTATTTACTTAATTATTTAACAATATTTACTTAATATTTGTTTAGTTATTTAATTAATTATTTAATAATATTTACTTAGTTCTTTTTTAATTATTCACTTAACCATTTGATTATACTTAAAAATGAGAAAATATTGCAATTTTGGGATAAAAGATTCTCTCGAGATTAAATTGCCACTTTATCACAATCTCACTCGAATACGAAACTAATTGTAAGGGAAATGATGAAATCTGAGAATTTTATATAGATATATATACATAGATGTATATCGCACGATTCTTCCTGTCACTGGAGGTCTAACCCACATGTACCAGACAGACGAAATCTACAGCCGAATTATCTAAAAACAAATAACTCGGTAAAACTCGGAGCAACGTCCTCCGGCTCCCGGGAGTGCGATTTGTAAATGAGCCGTGCTCGTTAATGCGGCGCAATACATTGAGCGGGGAACGCGAATTGCACCTGCGGGCACGCGATGCGACTCGACAAAGAAGAGTCAGTTAGACGCACGCGTAGGAATGAACAATGAAAAGGGGTACGACACAGGGGGTAGGTTCTCGAACTTGGCGCAATCAACTGATCGTACGAAAGCTGCTTACATCGGCGCGAAACCGATCGATATGTACATACATACATACATACATACATACATACATATATCGAAGAGCCAAAACCAGCGTGTAACAGTAATGAATGCCTTTGTTCCATCGAGCAGCCTCTCTCGAAGAATTAGAAGGCTGGCTCTGCTTGGCTCGACTTACAGTTTAGCAAACAAACGACTGTTTATATCCTATTACCGGGGAAACTCTCTCACAGTTATTACACCCCTTTCCTGCAATTATTTTCTTGGCTGGATTTACCTATACAGTCTGACGTACATTTGATGCTCTCCGTGGAACGTAACTTTCCAGTAGAGTATCACGGCCTATTGTTCGTTTGTTCCCGCGAACTTGAGTTCCACGAAATAAAAATTTTTCTTCTACACAGGTTTGAAGTCGCATCAAAATCATTGGTGACTAGACACTTGTATTTTGTGGTGTAGATTTATGTCCACTTACTGGAGTGTTCTCTTCTGATGGTTTTGGAAAGTCGAGGAATAAATCCTGTGAAATCACTCAAAGCTGGCGCGTAGAGTGTGTCAGATTTTTGTCAGACTATTTTCTATTAAAGAAGGAAGGATCAGTTTTCTTCATTAGGTTAGCTTAGGTTCCATGACTTATTTTAATCGAGTACAAATCTTTTTAGTATAATTGTACTAGCAGAGTATAATTAATTCCAGTGTAACTCTTTCTTTTTTGATTAGTCTGCTAAAAGAAATTTCTTGGCAAAATTTCGTTGCGGAATTTAAAATTTCGTTCAGCCTGGATTTTCTTAAAAACTAAAGTCCGAACTGAACGAATCAAACAGTCGCCTTGAACCGAGATATCTCTAAAGCTGGCAAATTATAGAATACTTAAAATACCAAGGCCATTTGCTGATTTCAATCGTCTATAGACCGATCTGTAGAAAAAATTCAGCATACCGTAATTGCTTCGTCATTCTGGCATATTGGAACTTAAGAGAAATGCAAATGGCTTCTTAATCGAACCGGCGAGAAGTCGGCGAACGTATCGTGGAATGGCACTCTGTTTATTTTGGAATTTCATGTTCGAATAATCGATTGCAATTTGAGTGTTAGGGGGCCAGCGCCCACCGTTCGACTATTCGGTTTTCTCTGTGCAAGTCCTCCCGTGCATGTGCGACTGGTATATCGTTTAGAAGATTAG